TATGTTACATTTCCAGTTGAATGCTTTCTTTCTCTTTATGTTTCTCAGTTCTTGTTGTCAAGGTTAGCCTACAAGCTACATTACAAATACAGCATCATGGTATTTTTAGAATTTACAGGATATACGAGATACACTAGCACATACTGAACCCTGTGTATGAGTATGTAAACCATCATAGCTTTTCGAATCATTCCTAATATCTAACAGGCCAAGAACAGACACAAACACCAAGTAAATTTTCAACCTGGTTGCAACAAAAAGCTTTGGAAAATCTTGGTCGCGATGTACAGAATATGAGTTGTCTAAACAAGACATAACATGGCGTCCCCACGCGTCAGTTTGCATGCACTGTGTCATTTTACCAGATTAAAAGACAAGGGAGCGTTTAACAATTGTCATGGCTGAGCTTTTTGGGCACAAAAGTAGGGTGTTCCTAATTAAGAATTTTTAGCGTAAATGTCAGTTACGGGTTTCATTTCTCTCAAGAGAAATCAAGATACAGACAACCTTGGCGAAATAGTTGATTCATCCTCTGATTTATCTTTGCTTAGTTTGTTTAACCGCATTGGTCTAGTTACACAACACTGCTACTTAATATGCGTCTAAAAGCTGGTAACTGTGAACTTTACTGAACTGCATCTTTGCGAATTGAAGAGACTGGAAATGCCTAAGTTTATATATCACGGCCGTGACCTTGATACAAGAAGATAAGAATATATATAATCAATTCCTTTCCCATAACTTTATCGTGATAAAAGTCTCGTATCTTACAACATTTCCTGCTTTTTCAAACTTTTTAGTATTACATATAAGAGCTTTGAAAATGTTTGTGTTACTTCAAGTTACTTTGACCTTTTACCAAGTAACTTAAAATAATTTTCCTGGGGAGAGTCGAAGTGAAAGGCTTGGGAAAGCGGTTTGAAATTTTGTAGTAAACAAATGCAAAACACCCGGCGGGACAGTGGGTATTGAATGAATGGGGTGCAATTATCACCTGGCCTGCTGCATATTCAAGACTTTTCCCTTGCACCTTTGTTCATTGTAATATTAAAGTAGGTCATTATAATGGAAAATGAGGCAGTGCTGGGGGTAAGTTGGACCAGGCCTAAAGGTAGTGGCGGAATGAAAAAAAAATGAAAAAAATTAACATGAGAAACATGAGAAGAGAGTAATATAGGTTATTACGAACATTAGTTTACACCGCGTAACGGAGCACAAAATAAATGCAGTTAGACAAAAGTCATTTTTCCTCGACCGTCTATTTTTTAGTCATTGTAGACTCCATTGAGCATGCATTTCTTTAAATCATTTCGCGAAGTAACACATTTTTGCAACGTGTTTTTTATTTTCGTCATCGCGGATGGCAATCTACTTCCACTGCCAGCTCTCATAACTCTTCAAGGTCCTTTCACTGCAGGAAAAGTGGGATTTACCACCAAGGTAAATGTGATGTGAAACCGGGTTAAAGAGGCATAATGTGACTTTTTGACAATACAAAAGTATATTTTCCATTCTTTTCTTTACATAGTACCTTAGCGCCCTCACTTATCCCCATGAACTTTAGAAATAATTGTTAACAGTTGAAGCTTGGTTATGTACAACTGACCTTCCAGTTATCAGAAATATTTGAAATATTTGTATCACATAATCGTTCTTCTGCTTGCAATTTTTAACTGTTGTGGTGTGGTTGTAATATGTGTTATTATTGTGGTCTATGTAGTCTTTCTAATGATGCTGTATTTTAACTTCCCAATGACTTTATTTTAACCTCCTAATGACTCTGAATTTTACTTAATCATGTGCAATACTATAAACTCTTGATTTTAAATAATAAAATGCACATTGATTCGCAATTCAGTAACTTGTATTAAGTTTACTGCCATTGATCAATAAATATTTCTTGAGTCTTTTAACTTAACCCTTTAGTATTCAAGAATAATTCTCAGCCACAAAATACAACATCCTTGCTCCTTATAGGCTTAGAAAACTGTAAATGGTAATCTCTTCAAACCTCTGGCCACACCGCACATATGGTATTGTCCAGGCCAGTGGTGTGGCCTACCTTAAAGTGGGGCGTCATTTGACAGCTTACAAATTTCTGAAAGACCTCATCGTTTACCAGATTTTTTATCTCTTTTGGAAGAATTATGACAACAGTTTATTGATGTCCAACAAAATAGACAAAGTTGATAAAATATATTCCACCTCATGTGAAAGATATGAGTGTTTTTCCAAAGCAGCTAATCTTGTGACATGTGCCCCTGTCTATCAAGCCTGCCATGCCCGACCAATTAGCCACACTAGGGGGGGGGGGGCAACCACTGCCTGCTGTTTTTGTTTTGAGCAAACTGGTGGCACTGGGAACTGAACAAGGTCTGTTTGAACGCACAAAATATATGCCAAAAACGTGAAATAATGGTATGATACGAATGTGTTGAAAAGTGATAGCAACTGTTGATAACACTGATATTTAGTATAATGAGAATATTTCAAATTTTTTCTTAAAAAGTTACATAATGCATCTTTAAGGTTACATTTACCAGTGATCCACCGACATTTACCGCTCGTTAAATGCACAGATTTTTTCCGGTATTTACCCGCATGGTAAGCTGTTAATGTTTGCCTTATTACCTTCTTCGAAGGTTTTCGGAGACGTTCTTGTTTGTGTGTGTGTGTGTGTGTGTGTGTGTGTTTGTGTGTATCTGGAAACACGATAACTTGAGGAGGCTTACATGGATATGGGGATTGACTTGATATTAATTAGGTGGGAAGGTCTTGATGAGACCTGGAAATTAATAGATTTTGGATCCCCTAGCGGTCTCTTATAGTACCACAGCTTAACTTCCGGTTTTAGTATCTCATGATCTGGACACGCTAGGGTCGAGAATTTTAAATGATAGGTAGCTCTTGTGCTGGGCGAGAAGTTAGGTAAGCCCCCCCCCCCTAGCGGCTTGCTCCGGCGCTAAAGGGGTGTTTGTTTCATAATGTTCCAAAGAGGATAACTCAAGAACCGGTGGAAGGATCGTCATGATTTTCTGTATGTAGGTAGCTTGATTAAGCATTGACATAATTATGTGACAATTATGTAAATGTAAATGTAATTTGCATAATTTAAGAGGAAATTTTGTACATCGGATGGAAATTGAAGCTTACTCATAATACCAGACCTCAGTCTTGTCCTGGCAACCGTGAAGTGTAGGCCATGGAGAAGGCCTGTCTAAGACAATTTAGCTTGCCAAGTAAAAATTTCTCTTTATGACACTTTTAAAATGTGACACACATATATAAAAAGTTATGGTAACCCAGAATATAAAGCATAATTAATAATAATAATGACAGCTCAGACTTGCCATGCTCTGGCTTGTACCTCGAGACCTTGTCTGGCACTTACTTGCCCAGTTCTACCTACAGAGCCTGAGTCTACACTGGTGTATCTGACTGCAAGTAGGCACCACATTTACAAGCCATATGTCAGACACAAAACTGACAAATGTAGTTGAGAAAGACATTTCAAGTTGCAAGTACAGATACATGTAGACACTTTGAAAGTTTGATACAGCAAGGGCATTACATGTACATTAACATTAAGATAATCTATATCCTTAAATGTTTTTCTGGTTCTCAATTACATAGTCAATGGTTCATAGTCCTATCATCGAATGAAGCAGATTGATAGAATTTCATTTAAATTAGCTCATGATTGGCCTACTTGTGGTTTGATTAGGTCCAGTATCAGTTAAACTACCTACACACAAAAAAATCAGGACAATCCTTTAACCCGTTCTTGAGTTATCCTTCTTCGAAGATTTTTCAACTAACGCTCCTACAGTTTCAGAACAAGCCGCTAGGGGTCCAAACTTATGTCACCTTTTTCCTAGCCCAAGAGCTATCTACCACCCAAAATCAGTGATCCTAGTCAGTCCAGATCACGAGATATTGAAATCGGAAGTTCTGCTGAAGTACCAAGACAAGCAAGAATCTAATCATTTCTAGGTCTTCACAAGACCTACCCACCTACCAAGTTAAGTTTCATGACAATTCAAATAAAGCTGATTGAACTATGCTCTTCACAAACAGACGGAAAAACGCTACTTAAAACATAACCTTACTGGCAAAGGGAACAAACAAACAAAAAATACTTACCATTTTCCAAAGACAATGCACCAGAAACCTTAAATGCAGATGACAGATCTACTCCGTTGTAGTTGATGTAGTACATGTAGGCGGCTCCAATGCTCAGAATCAAAATGGAGAAAAATAGGAACTTCGGAGTTGGCCGAAAAGAAATCATTTCTACCATACAGAGAAAATCACTTGTTGTTTTACAATTAGGTTGGTGGAATGGTTGGTAGACTCTACGATTCACCACGGCACAGTTTATGATTTCAAAGATTCTGTGAGGTACGTTTTGGATTCCTCGAAATCTTCAACTGTCATTCCGCTTGACACCTGCAATTTGAAAGAATCGTCGGACCGTAATGTAATCTATGCCAAAGTGACGTTTTAGGGTAATAATGGAAGTGATAATAGTAGAATTAGTAATAGTAGTCGTAGTAAAAGTACATCAACCAGCTCTAAGTTGGACTATTTACGAAACGACCGGTTCCTGGTCCGGAAGAAGGGGTCTCCTGCCGTTAAAGGGTGTTAGAATATGTTGGAACTCTTTTTGCAGATTAAGAAAAAAACAAGGTAGCCTCCTTCGCAGACTTGAGGTAGGCAGCGTTGATTTTTTTCGGCTTATAATTAGCGACGCGACTTATGCCGCGGAATGACGATTTCGTCGCCGAGTGTAACACCTAAAATACCCGGAATTTCCGAATGTCTTCTATCAGCTTTCTGATGTAAAAATGCCAACGCTGAGTATAGGCCAGGCTCAACATTGTTATTCAATCTTTATATTAATGACCTACCACAATGTTTTGATTGTAACGAATGTGACGCTGCTTCTTTAAGTTACAAATCGCTTAACTGCCTGTCTTGGGCAGATGACCTTGCTCTAATTTCCTTGTCTGAAAAGGGGCTTCAGAACTGTATTAATAATTTAGAAGCGTATTGTAACAACTGGAAATTGAGTGTGAATGTATCCAAAACGAAGGTGCTAGTTTTTGCAAAAGGCCCCACTAACAAATTATGTAACAAATTTTATATATACGGTACAGAAATAGAAGTAACTGACAGCTATAATTATCTTGGTGTGCCACTGACGTCTTCGGGCAAATTTAAAACAGCTAGAAAATTTTTAAAGACGAAAGCTATGAGAGCACTTTTTAAGCTTAAATCACTTCTATTCTTTAAAAAAAATATCCCAATTCATTTAGGCAAAAGCTTATTCAATAAATTCATACGCCCTATTTTTCTGTATGGGGCAGAATTAACATGTTTTGACCAAACTTCTAAAACAGCTAAACTCATTGTATCCAAACGAATTCCAGAATCTTCTCCAAAAAATGTCTTATCTATACTTCTGAATCAACTTGACTTGAATGACTATCTACCTGCAACAACAAGAAAGAGTGTGAGTTCTGACTCCACTCACTCTTACGTGATTCATTTTTAAGAAAAAGTCAGACAAAGATAGATTACTAAGGCTTTCGTCTGGTCTTAAATTAAAAAAGACAACTTTACAATTGAAAATGTGCATCTTCCACTACAAACCACAGAATTTGATATTATTGACATCGATTTCCAGAAATTTCTACTTGGTGCAAATTCCAAATCATCAAATGACGGAATTCGCGGCGAATTGGGAACATTTCCTGTCATGATTGATGCCGAAATAAAAATACTGGCACCGTTTGGAAAATTTACCCGAAGACGCTCTACTCCACGAGGCATACAATATTCTACATTCCGCTGATTCTGACTGGGTAAATCATATAAACGACATCCTTAATTATAACGGTTTTGGATATGTATGGACAAACCCCAGGCTGTATCACGTTGACATGTTTGCAGATCAATTACGACATCGTTTACAGGATATTTACATCCAAGAATACCATACTTCTGTTCAAAACAATTCAAAACTTTCTGTCTATTCGATGTTAAAGACGAGGTACGGACAAGAAAATTACCTTTCTGAAATACACAATTTTGAAGTTCGTAGATCGATTACAAAGATGAGAATTTCTTGCCATAAATTAAATATAGAATTAGGAAGATATAAAAAAATCCCTCGCGACCAGAGGTTTTGTCCATTCTGTCCCAATGATATTGAAGACGAACAACATTTTATTTTGAATTGTACACTATATAACGATAAACGCACAAAGCTGTTCAACCTTCTCTCCGCCTGCTCAACAGAATTTGTTACATTTCATGCTATAGATAAATTTAAGTTCATCCTAGAAGGCAATAACCTTAACTGTGTACAAATAGGTAAATATATCAAAGAATGTTTAGACCTTAGAACAAGTAGTATTAGTTGACCCACCTATTGTTCTGTACGTAGGATATTTTCGTTATACCCATGTATAATTGTCTGTATATCTACATGTCTTTGACCTTACAAAAGTCGCTGTACTTTTTGTTGTGTCAATAAAATTCTGTATAACTGTAGCTTACGAGGCTAATATAAATCTATCGGAAGAACAAAAAAGCCTTTATATAATAGAGCTGTTAATAATCTCACCACTCACCACAAAGAACAACTTGATGTCGGGTAGGGTTAGGGCTACCGGGAGGTAGCAGGAAAGAGTAAGAAATCGGCCGATAATATGCAACCGGATGGGCAAAATGTACTTCTATCAGACCAACTCCCTTTGGCATATTATTTCTCTATTTTGGCCAATTTATGATCTTTCCAGCCACCTACCGAAGACTAGTAAAGGCTACTGTAAGATACTATGAGGATTCAAAATGACCATTTTATCTGCTGATATGTTCTTTGGAGGCGCCTTTAAAGGAACAAAAGATACAAAACCCGGAAGTTTTGCTGCAGTACAAAGGTCAGCCACCAGGAGGCCCAAATGGACCCCAGTCTCTATGATTATAGTTAAGTCTCCAGTGATGATTAACTGCCCCTTCTCAGTTGTAGCCTTGCGGACACTAGGTTCGAATTCTTTCTACAAACTGGAAAGGCCAGCATTGCTCAATAGCAAACACATCACATTGCACCCATTCTTCCTCCCCATTGTATGTGCTTGGAGATTACCTTTCCATGCAACCCTGTATCTGTTTGACTATACTAAGTTTGATCACATTATCCCAGCAGCCAATCAGCAAGGAGAACCTATTCCCACCTGATGAGAAGGGGAAAAGGAGGAGAAACATGAGGGAAAACAACATATTTCGCCCGTACTTTAGTATGGGTGAAATGCATATATGCAGTACATTCGAGCTGGGACAAAAATTCCAGGGCCACTCTGGAAATTCTGCCAATACATGTACACATCTGTGCCCATTTCTTTTCACTAACAGGCAATTAGCTAGCCTTGTACTTCTGCTAAGGTGACTAAACACTACGTGTTTGGACATGTTTTGTATCTCTCAGCGTTCCATTATGGCTACAGTCTGACACGTGTCAAGTTTAATAACAAAATGGGAGTGTCAAAATGTCTCATGAGTGTTTTTAGAATACCTGTGTGACTTATTGAAATACTTTCAAATTTTCAAATATTTTCAAATTGGTAGCTTTTGGATATTAGCATTGCCCATGCTATCTGCATATGTGTATTTGTTCTTCTAAACCTCTCCAGTCTTATTTACGACACGCCCGGAAATAGACCCTGCACGGCCAAAGCGTACTAAAGCTCACAAGCAAATGTGGCGACCAATATCTAAAAGATCGTCATATATAATTGCAACGGCAAACAAACGGTTGTTGTCAAAGCCCTTTCCCAACCTCACATGTCTGAAGAACGCTTTAAAATATTCCTTTCTATACCAGTCGCAAACTTTGCTAGAAGTCTCGCGAAAGAAAAACCGAATATGGAAACTTTGGTTTGAATAATCAGTCACACCATAATGGCGTGGCAGCATATTGTGTCCCCGACATAATATCCGTGATACTGGCAAAATATAAAAAAAGAGGCCCCTGCAAAAACACGCAGCTTTGCCTTTTGGTATCTATCATTTCGCTTTGTCTTAGAACAGAAAATAGTTTCTCTCGAATTTATGATCATTAATCAAACAAAGCGGCACTTACTTAATTCTTTCCTCTTCCTGAGAAAGAAAATATTGTGTCTGGAAGTGAAATGAACCATTGGTTCACGAGAATAATAGAAATGCTTGTTTCCTGTGCCCATTTGATCTACTGAGTACCCATAAAAAACTCGTGAAGGCGCTTAAAGCTTATACTGTGCATGCAGGATAGTGCTTCCCCGGCCCCAACCTACTTACCTGCCGGGGCCTAAGATCTGCCGGTCCACCAGAGCCGTTTGCTTCAACGAAGCGATGATCGTCCTGTACGTGGTAGATATACGAATAAATGAGTACAATAGTTTAATTTTGAACCATTGCACACCTCATATATCGTACGACGGATTTGGTCTTTATGACTTTTAGGGCGATGTTTAAACTCAACTTGAGACAACAAATATTTCTTACCTGCAGTGTTAAAGATCTTCTTGTGGATGCTTGTCTCTTACTTGAGCCGTGTTCTCACCGTCCTGTTCACTGTGGTGGTGGCTATTCGTGAATACGTGGCACATCCTGGTATTGGTTGGTTTACTGATGTTATCGTGTAACTCAACAGCGCGCAAAAATAGACATAACATCGCAAGCTTCCCATTAACTCTTATAGAAACAAGTTTCATAGCAACGGTTGCCATACCAAGAACAGTTTGCAATGGAGTTTGTCATTACCTTAGTTATTTTCCGTACCCATTGCTTGGACAAATGCACCCCGTGTGTTAACTAAGCAAATAGATCTCAAATGCTTTGATTATGATCACATTAGTCGCCATGACTAGTATTTAATATTGGATGGTTCAGGGAAGCTGTCATGTTGCGTGTCGCTCTTACATTAATGTGTCTGATGTACAGAAAGTGCGAAATGGAACGAAATGCACGAGTTGGAACGAAATGGAACAAAATATGTATGTAGGAAAAATGTTAACCCGTTTGTAAGTTCGAACGGCGACTTAAGTGTCGCGCAAATTTTCCTGCATGTATATTGGTCCTGCATGTATATAGCTGATGTTATGTGTGCCCTAATGACCTCGAGAGCCAATCACCGTAAATGATTTACCTAGCCATACATACCAGACACACCAACTTTCTTTGTGAAACATGTCAAAAATGGAACACAATGAATGCAGGACAATTTGATATTTAAAAGAAAAACAGACACAATGTTTTATTATACTTTTGGCCTTTCCAACCCATTGCTAAAGTTTGACTCAGGACAAAGGCATAACCTGACACATTTAATCTGCAGACTTTAAAAAAATACTCCAACCATGTACAAAAGGAATATTATTTTGTAGAGCATATGGTTTACATTGTACATTGTACGTAATACCTTTTTCGGTGTCCCAAATTTAGATACATGATCTAATCATCTAAACCGCTAGTATGAGCAGTTTGGTATATAAAATGACATCTTTAAACGGCAGATCCATCATAATTCATCATAAAAACGTTGATGTTATTTTAACGTCATAATAATGTTTTCTTGTGATTTTTGTTCACTAAAATCGTCAAAAATTATTATAAGTAGGCTTGAAATAATTGTCCAAGAATATTAATGTCTACTAATTTTGCCCCTGGAAACAACACCGACCTACGAATGAGATCATAAAAATAACGTCATGCATATTAAAGCACTCGGCCACCTTGGACTTTTTTTTAAAATTACATTTAAATTTAAATTCTATTGGAATATATTCATATGAACGTTCTATTAAATTAAAAAAAGTTTTTAATTTAAATTTTGTAAAAACAGCAAAAGCTAATGATATGGTACACGATCTTGGCTTTTCAAATGATGTAATCAAATGAGCATAGATTTTGAACATTCAATGATCGAAATTATACATATTTTACTAACGTCAGAAAAGAATTATAGTAAAACATAAAACCGTATAAAATTTAATGTTTAAACCATACTGATTTTTCTCTCCCAAAACTGCAATAATAACTCGAAAATCTACTTAATCAATGTGAAATCGTTGCAAGCTGTATTTTAGGAAAAGTCTCTAAATTCTCTGGTTTAAGTGAAACCTGTTCAGATGCTATCTTGGATAAAAGTTTGCTCGGTCCTCAAAAGCCAATTTATAAGCATTTCTTCATTAAAATGCAAATGAAAGAATATGATTGATTATGTTCATGTTTACTTATTCTAATAACTTCCCAATGCCGCAATTATGAAATTGCCCGTTATTTAAGTTTAAACCTAATTTGTGTAATTTTAATCTTATTATCTCACACATCACATATAAAAAATAATGAGATTCCGTCAACAATTTCTTGATTTACTACTGCGATCATATTGAAACGCCCTTACAAACCCAAAACTTACGCCACTTACCCTACCGTCCAATAATCACTACCCTAGCATGTCCACATTACAAGGCCAAGTTCCACTGCAGTACATTTACAGGCCGTTAGAGGCCCACACAATCTAATCAGTTTGAGCTCTCCTCAATTTCTACCCACTTTTGAAATATCAGGATGATCCATGAAAGCATTTTGGAGCTATGCACGCACGCAAGCCGCACACGCACACACACACACACACGCACACACACACACACGCACACACACACACACACACACACACACACACACACACACACACACACACACACACACACACACACACACACACACACACACACACACACACACACACACACACACACACGCACACACACACACACACACACAGAGAAACACAGAGTCACGGCCACCAAAATGATGGCAAAATGTGCTTATAAATGTATTATTATGTCTATTATTATGTCTTGCCGCCTTAACATTATAACAGATATCTTGACCAATAGTATAAACGTATATGATTGACTGCTCCGAGAACAATGTCATGTTCGCAGCTGTTTCTCGCGGTGGGGTGGACGGATTTTTTTTGGATCAGGTAAAGCCATGTTGATTTGATTATATGGATGACATCCGCGCGCGCATGAATTTTCGGCCGTTTCCAAAAAAAAAAGGTTTCAACCATACTGTAAATCGTACAAAACAGTTGCAAAATGAGCAAAAATATACCGTAAGTTACAAAAAAATAAGTAAAAACTATACCAATGTCGTAGAATGCCAAAACCAAACGAAAAAAGACAGAATTGTAAGGAAATGAAATTGAAGATTAGATTATTCGCCAAACCATATTCTGTCCCATTTGTTCAACCCTCAAGACCACATAGATTTCATAATGAAAACAACTTTTTTTTGCAAAACTTTTTTTTTATTCGCACGCGCTCATCAGTTTTGGGGCTCCCGGAGGATGTCATCCATATAATCAAATCAACATGGCCTAACAAGAAAAAAAAAACACCTGCAGAAGAGAACCAAATAACATTTCCCAGATACCAGCAGATATATTTTTCATCAAAATATTTTTAGATGTGCCCGCAATTTTCAAGCCCGGGCGCGCATGGCCGGCGCTCTGCACGCAAATATTTTTTGTCGGGCGGTATGCGGATGACACCGCCAGTGCCGCAGTATCGCGATTCGGTGTCTCATAATATTATTTCTAATATCAGTATTAATTAAATAATTTTGATACTGTACGAACATTTTTGCTAAGAATAAAGATGATTTGGAGCGATTTGTGGATCGCATGAGTTGGGTTAAATCGGTTAAACTTGAGGTCCGTCGTGAATGCATGTGGGGAGGGGGGCACACTTACGCAAAACATATTCGCGGGGAAATAGATTCGCGGTACGAAGGTCCCCGTGAATTCCGCGAATTTAATTATACCGCGGAAATTTGTAGACTTACAGTATACGTTTTGCTATTGATGCACAGTGACGGGTGGGGCAGGCACCGGGCCCTCAGGGAGGGACATCACCGGGACAGACCCGCCCGGAAAGAGTGGGGGTGGCACCGGGCCCTCAGGGAGGGACATCGCCGGGAAAGACCCGCCCGGAAAGAGTGGGGGTGGGGGTTGCACCGGGCCCTCAGGGAGGGACATCACCGAGACAGACCCGCCCGGAAAGAGTGGGGGTGGGGGTTGCACCGGGCCCTCAGGGAGGGACATCACCGGGACAGACCTGCCCGGAAAGAGTGGGGGTGGGGGTGGCACCGGGCCATCAGGGAGGGACATCGCCGTAGCATTCGCTGATCTTGTCGATCAACCGGGTTGGTCCGCAGCACTTTCCGGTGTTCATCGATATCCTTTTGCATACTAGTATTCCCGCACGACCGTGGTTCAGACACAGATCTGTCATGACGTCAAAGAATGACACATGAGTGTTCTGGTGGGCAAGTGGTGCCCGCCCGAAAGCTTCGTCAGAAATTCTTTTTGCAAGTTGCCATAGGCATTCTGGCTTTTTGAATTGCAAAGACTGGTGAAACGCGGTTTTGACAAGGCCAGACCTCAATCACAAATCGGTGTTTCATAATACCATTTTTTATTTCAGTAAAACTTAAATAATTCTGATACTCAACATATGTACATCTGCTGAGAATAAGTTGATTTGCGTTGGTTTTTAGATCGCGTGTATTGTTACTCCGTGAAGGAGGTCAGGACCTCCGGACGGTGTAATCGGCACGCAATTTTATACGCCGTCTGCCCGTGTTGATGCACGAATGTGTATTTTTGCCGTTGCTGTTTTCGCGGTCAATGTAATATTGCAGATGCACCCCTACAATTGTGAGGCAAATTGGAATGGTCCAGAAAAACCCGTTGTTTGGAATGGCGGTGGGGGGTGGAACTTCATGCAGACGTGCGGAGGGCTCGATAAGTGGTAACATACGTGTTCGCAGCCAAAACGCATTGTTCCGTACGTAGCATTTCCGTGTAATTTGGCATGTGGTGTGCCATCATGTCCGCGGTGATGCACGTCTTTTTATTTTTACTATAGCTGTTTTGATATTGGAGTAAATGCTTATTTTGAAACATCCCTTTAATGTCGTTGAGATGTTTTTGCTCGGGTATCGGACCGGCGGTAGTATTAAACACTCGCGGTGCTGGCCGCGACTGTTGCTGGAATTTGGTCTGGCCAGTCGCGCTTAATAAGTAACAGGAACGGTAAGACGTTGGGGCTGTCTTTGTTACTAATGATAGTCCGATCTTTATGTGAATGCAATGATTGTGTGTGTGAAATTAGAATGAATTTCGAACTTGAAGCACAGTATCTTTACACGCCCTAGGAGCAGTAATGGATTTAGGTCTTTTTATGTTTTATTGTTGTGACGCGCCCCCTCATTGTATTAACCGTTGCCTAATGTCTGCACAGTAGGTTTGGCGTTGACGCTTGGGATTATTTTTGTTGCAAAATATAAAACTTCACGGAGGATTGTTGCCTATGGCTTCTCGTTTGTATTTTGTTTTGAACTCGACGTCCGTCGTAAATACATCTGGATAGGGGGACACCCTTACGCAAAAAGTATTCGCGGGGAAGTTAGTTTGCGGTACAAATAATGTTAATCTAATCACGGTGGTAAAATCTGGGCTGCAAAATTCCCACATTTCATAGAATCCGAACAGTGTTCGATCGTGTTCGATCTGGGCAATTCGAATCGAACCCGCGTTCCATTTCGGGGTCACCTGCGGTCATTTGCAATAAAGCGGCAAAGCAAGCCCTTCTGCCTGAGTGCCTCGCAACAGATAAAATACAGATACATGTCCGCTATCATTTTTTGTGAACATGTAACATATAGCGAAGTTACTGTCGCATCCTTGGGTAACCTTGAATACTGTAATGATTCTTTACACCTTTATGAATAACACGGTGCACACTTTTGGGAGATATGACATGTCTGCAAAACTCGTTTAAACCTGGAAGCATGGAGAGTCAAACATACCCCGTTTCATCTTATTCCTAGTCGTCGAAAAATATAAAAATCAGTGACCTTGCGTAATATGTGTAGCCAGGTTTGCTCGGTAATTGGCTAAAATATGGAGCACCGAAATTCCATAAGTTATCGAATTTTTTAACGAAATCCGAAAAAATCATCAATTAAGCGCACAATAAATCACCATTGAATGTATGTAAAGACGATAATTATAATTTCTTTCAACGAAATTTTCCATTCGATACTAGTTTGTTTATTTTCAAATGTTTTACGGTGAGCCCAAAAATTGCGTCTTGTAACCCGACACTTTATCGACACCCCCCCCCAGCAATGGGAAAGAATGCCGTAGTGAAAGACCGCCGCGAATTCTACCGCTGAAATTCGTAGACTTACAATGTATACCAAGTACCACCATTACCCGAGACAGAATTTGAGGCCAATTTAGACTCAATATGTGGGTCATTGGAATCGGGGAAAGATGCACAGGAACAGTGGAAGATAGAGATCGGGGAAAGATTCACAGGAACAGTGGAAGATAGAGATCGGGGAAAGATGCACAGGAACAGTGGAAGATAGAGATCGGGGAAAGATGCACAGAAACAGTGGAAGATAGAGGTTTGTTATATAATTTGTATGTGTTATACAGGAATGTGTCACTCTTTACTGTGTAAGTTTTTATTGGCTTGATAACAGCGTTAATGGCCCGCCCTTTCTCGGTGAATATGGTGATAAAGCCTTGTCACCTCGGGGCGGGTCATTAACCCTTAATTAAATTTAATTGCATGTAATTAACTAAAGCCTAAAAATCTGTATTCATAATATATATTTGAAGACAATCTGTATTTATAATATACATTTTATGACAATGCTCTGACTCGAAGGTCTGCCAATTATTATTATGAATGTAACATATTATTGTGATCTTAATGCATTGAATCGGTTAGTGTACGAATGCCAACTCATAGTAGTAATAAGCGGAGCTCTGTGCCCAAGATATGCATCATCATTATTTTGCCAAAGTATTGTAGGAAAGAATTTTTTATCACAATTTTTTTTTAGATATTTTAACTATTTGTCTATAATATATTTCCAGTGCAGTTCAGTGTGCATGTCATAGCCGGACTGCGGAACTGTATATATTTGTAATAAGAAATAAACCACTCACTACCACAAAGTTACTGATCTATGCAAAAATGCCTGTCTTGTTTTGTATTTGAAGTTAACCATAATATAATATCGTCTCTTACCTTGGAATGTATGACGTAAGTATGTTTGCTGCCGCCAGCCTTACTGTTGACTTGCCTCCAAACGTACACATCACGGACCTAACCGCTGGTGGAATTCTCGTATTCAGGCTTTTATAAGTCTTCATAGATTCCCCAGTGTATAAGAACAGGTGGTTGAATAGGTACATGTATATGTCAGGAAATGCGATTGCGATTTTTAAATGTGCTTCACAGTCTACGACGCCGACTTTTGCTTACAAAGGGAATAAATACGGGTCACAAATATGCAATATTGGACATTTCTCATTATCTGAATCTGTCTGTATAGCCAGTGTGACCGCCCTTCGGCGTAACACACAAGTTTCTTTATATCAGGTTAAGTCGTCTTAATCGAGGCGTAGGAAATTCTTTATGGTTTTATGTTAAATTACACATGCTTTATAACATCATTATGCAATTTTATGAATAGATTATATTTAACAATAATGTATGCTAAATTGATTACGTCATCCCTCTCAATGCAAAATGACGGACCTTATATGGTTATTTATTATCAGTAGTGCACCATCCCTTACATCCCATCCCTACACTAGCCAATCTATAACTTGCTAAAACGCTTTCACAGCGTCTTGCACGACCAAAGAAAAATCCCATTACAAAGAAGATGGTTTTTACACTAACCCCTTGTTTTTCCTACAGAAATCTTTGCCAAATCTTCTTCAAAAGAGTATCCGAACATATCAAAGTCCTTCTGAAAGACCTTCTGTAGTGGCAAAATTTCATCTATCGGGACTCGGCCGTAGAAGTCTTTAAAAACATTGCCATTGTTCACGTTTCTCGACTGATGTTTTGGGAGGACGTCTTCATTGGCTGTGATGTTGTTCTGCTTTAAGAATAGTCTGATATCCGAAGCGATTGTGTCCGTGTGGGCAACAAAGTCGTAGTCAATCTATAAGGGAAATGACGCAATGTAAATGCATACAAATTTTTGAACTTCAAATTCGTATGCAATAAATAATCGACCGTGAAATTCCCAATGTAAAAGAATTCCTTTATGCACGTGGGAGATAATCGTACAATAAACGTATGCATGAGAGGTTGCTTTACTTATAAATACGTTGTTGAGTCTTAAAAAATACCTTGCATGGTGCGCATAGTCTGTTGAATGATAACCAGTGCTGACTTCTCTCCATTTGATGCGAAATGGCAAAGAGAAATTCTCGGAACGACACTCGTTTTGGGTCGTTGTCCGCCCTTTCTTCGTTTATTTTACTTAACTAGAAAATTAAACAAAATATACATTTTATTTTAAAAGAGAGGCATGGGAGCCATATACATTAGTGCCTTTATAGAGACAAAGCACTATAAACGTTTTGAAAATTATAATACACGACATACTGAGTTGTATGGCATATTTATGGCTTCACCATGGCTTCTATTCGGTGAAGTCATATGTTTTCCCTCATGTTTCTCCTTCTCCTCGTCCTGCCATTTCGTTAAATGTATTGGGTACAATTTCTTCATTTTTGAACCAAATGACATTAAGTTTGACATAAAGGCGTTTTTTTCACTTTTCTTTTTAATTTTTTTAATTTGGATTTTGGGCCATTTTCAGCCAAAGTATACATCTTGGGATCTGGAACCCTGGTAACAAATCCAAATAACCTGAAATTTGGTACGGATATACCTTGGACATATCTACACAACCTAATTTTGGCTGTTTTCAGACGAAAAATCTACATTTTTGGCTCCCGTGCCCTAAAATTAAATCAAAATGACCTGAAATTTGGTACACATGTCCAAATAGTCATTCAGGATTTTGACATACACTGATTTAAAATTGTGTAAAATAGGGCTTCTTGGCCAATTTCGGACAAAAAATGCACATTTTTTGGCTCCTGTGCCATATTAAATCCAAATGACCTGGAATTTGGTTTGGGGATACCTTGGACACATGTCTAAAGAATGTCATTCAAGCTTTTGACATACACTATACTACTTTACCATTGTGTAAAATAGGGCTTTTTTTTGCTATTTTCGGACAAAAAAGTACATTTGTGGCTCCTGTGCCCTACTATTAAAACCTAATGACCTGACGTTTAGTATGAGACATCCTTGGATACAAGACTAAAGAATGGAAATTACACTTTTTGCGTTTGTCACTTTAGAATCATGTAAAATGGGACTTTTTTTCTATTTTTGACCAAAGATGTGTAAAATAGGCCTTTTGGCTATTTTCGGACAGAAAACGTACTTTTTTTGGTTTCTGTGCACTGATACAAAAACCAAATGACCTGAAATTCAGCATTAGGGTACCGGTGGCAATACGAGCTCAGACTATAGTGTTCACTTTTCACATCCAGTCTTTTAAAATACTTTCATTTACATTGCGTTCAGTAAAAACAGAGATTGTAGCTTGAAAACCCAAATCTCCAACTGATACTGTGTAACAGTTCGAAATAGAATGCTGGCTCTACCAGGGATGTTCTATCACAGAATGTCCTTGGTTCTACATGTTCCAACAGCAGAAGGCGTTTGCAGATTCCATTGCTGCACGAGGGTAAAGACTATTGGTACACTCCACATTTTGGACAGGGGTGCTTTAGGTACAATCCATTTGTGCGGTAGGGGGGGGGGTAGGTATATTTTTGGTATTGGGGATGTGGTGAAACCATTTGCTTCCGACCAAATATCGGCCTATCTAGTTGTATATTGCGACGTCTGTAACGAGGCTGGTTTCCCATTCCTTAATAAAGAATGACAATGAATGTAAATTATTGTTGTCTGAATTATTCTTTAGTCTTGTGAATTTCAAATTTTACATTTACATGTTCGTTGCTGATATTGACTGCTAAAATTGTGTAGTCAGATATGAAGAGCTCAACTAGTTTGTAAGACAAACGTTTACGTGCCATTATCTATTCTTTAACCCTGTCTAGACTGGGGTTGGGGGGGGGTGCTAAAAGTGCCCGTGACAAATTTGACGTCAGATAGCATATGAACGGCTCGCTCTAGAACTACAATACATGTTGACTTTTCCTAAAATGTTGTTGACAACGATTTTGAATCAGTGGAATAATATAATGATAATTTGTGTTGCCATGGAAATGGGTTCCTGACAGACATTTTTTTGCTATTTAGTAAGTTGGTGATCCAAGATGGCGGATAGCTTGAATATGCATGCCACTTCATGACGTCACCGGTTTTGCTTTGGGCACCATAAGTCTTAGTACACCCTAATATTCTATCATCAACACTTTTTGTTTAAATTTTGTTGCATAACATTATGTTGTTTTATGGAATAACCTATCTAAACGGTTTAGGCCAATAAAATCACATTAATGACGTCAAATGACGTTAATACGACATCAAAACTGTTGTTAGAATATTTTGTTACTAGTACTTTAGAATATATTGTAACCATCCTCTGAAAATTTGGAGATCATCCGATATACCATTCACAAGTTCTGAGGGGGAGCGAATGAGCCCCCCCCCGTACCACGACCCCCCCCCAAAAAAAAAACGGTCTAGATATAGTTAAAGAAAATTGTAACTTAAAGAACGATAAAATATGCCTCACCTCGTCTATCAGGGTGTGACTTTGTAAGCTTTCTAAACGACGCCTTATGCGTCTAACAAACCCAAATCTGCCGAGACGTTCAGGCGTAATGACGAACTTGTCGAGCCACGCAGACGCCAACCTTGCATAAATAGAACGACAATTATACGTGTTATATCGTTTTAAGGATTACTTGGTTCTTACGGTGTACACTCGAATGATTTAATTAATTACCAAAACCAAACCCAAAAACAACCACGCGTGATGCAATAAAATGATAGCCCAGAACAGAACAAGAATTAGCCATACTTTCAAGTACCAGAATTAACCAATGAATGAGGTGTTCAAAAATTCATCATTTTCTTTTAAGTATTAGAGTTATCAACCAAGGATTGGGCTGTTTAAAAATCCATTCTTTCCTAGGAACTATTACACAGTGGAACTCGCTGTTACCAAAGTTAGCTTTAAAATGTTTAGAGTTAGACGTTCATACAATGATTAGGTGTACCAAGTCGTTCGGTGTAACCAGCTGCCGCCGCGCCGCAAGCCTGCGAAGCTGACGTCTTAAACTTTTTTTTATAAAGGTTGATTTCAACCCCTTTTGTCCATCACTATTGTATATAGGCCTAATGTAGGAAAAAATACAATTTCGAAATTTAAGATAGACGATCCAAATTGGCGGATAGTTTAAATATGCCTTACGTCATCCCAAAATGCCCAATCTAAAAAAGGTTAAAATTTGACTTTTCTACCTTGGGCAACTTATCTATGATTAAGGTAGATGATTTTTATTAAATAGAAACAATAGTATCCCCGAAGAATACAGTTTTGACCACCCTTTTGTATGTAATAACATGGATCTAAGAAACTCCACCCCATTCGGAAAAACTTGATCAAAGTCTGTATAAACAGCAAATTAGAATACTAAATGGTAGGACCCCGGCGATGTACATGCTACCATCCCAACGTCTCTAGTACTGTAGACTACGTCCTAACTAGTGGAAATATTCTCCTCTATAAAATCTCCTTCCATGTTCACCCCCTAACCCGACCATTGTAAACTCTCCCTAATTTTACATAGCAATGTTTACCGACTTAATTAATTATGTATGAACGTCAACTGCTCTCACACCAACAATGACGCATAAGCCACATCGTCCCAGTAAATAAAGGTGGGCCTAAAGAGGACCTGAACATTTATCGGGGTGCAGTTATGTAAGCGTGCTACACAGCACGTTTCGACGGCGTCAAAAGTGCACAGAAAATACGCTATGACGGCAGGGTTCATGTATATGGGGCACCCAGAATGACTGTTTTTAACAATCTTTACATTGACATAAGGCTAAAACGGTGGTCTATACTAGGTCAGAATATAGTTAATCATATTTTACGATCTTTCGATTCCTATGAAGGACAGAATTTGAGAAAATTACGACTTTGCCAAGTTCGTGCGGAGCGCCTGTCAGAAAGCGCCTGTCAGAACATGGAGTGCCGATCCGGCGAAGATCGTTCAACAAACCCGTTCTGAAAATGAAGAAACAGCACCAAAACTATACTATCAACTTTGTGATAATCTTCAGATGTAATATTTGTGTGTGTGTGTGTGTGTTTTTTGTTGTTGTTGAAGCTGCCAGTTACTCTCCGTAAAGACCTATACTTTTGCCGCGTAGTTCAGCGGCACGGCACGAAAAATCCGTCATGATGGGCCGGCCGCTTAGACAGAAAGTAGCCACTTATTGCGACACAAACATTACGGCAATACAGCGTGAAGTTGGCTGGATGCGGTGCTCGGTCTCATTTTTGTGTGAGTCTGTTACAACGCAGATTTTCGGATACAAGCTTGATGAGAAATATTTCTAGGCTTATATCTTATTGAATCGGTGTCGTATAAGCCCACACGGGCTGGGCGCGGGATAGCGCACGACACGGAAATAAAGTATCATTCATTCATTCATTCATTCATTCATTCATTCATTCATTCATTCATTCATTCATTCATTCATTCATTCATTCATTCATTCATTCATTCATTCATTCTAAGCTCAGTGGTTCATTTTTAAATAATGTATTTCACAATAAAAGGCACATGAAAGGCACATGAAAACCTCAAACCGTTCTAATGCCCTTCCGCAGAAGGATATCTCCTCCCCCGGAAATAAAAACGCATTTTTTTTGCATACGATTTTGTTGTGCAAAAATACAACGGCGGCAGACGACAGCTTTTTATAAAAAAACACTTGTTTTGTGACAGATAGATTTGTCTGTTAGGAAAAAGTGGTGTAACTTTTGTCACCCTAGCAGCTTGTTCTGTAGCTGCAGGGGAGTTTCTGGTAAAAACTTTTAAAGCGGATAAGTGGCTAGTACTTTCATACATGTGGTGTATGTAATCTATAGCAGTTGAAACATAACATCAACAGATACTTATTATGCAAATAATGACCTAATTTGCACATGTAAGATGAAAATTTCGCGATTTATCAATGGTAAATGATGGAAAGTTTATACCTTGCGACATGTGTTACTTAAAGGTTAACTTTACTGTGCATATATTATGTTAATGTAGTAGTAATTTCCATAATTAATAAGGACATGTTAAATGAAATATTGCTAAAGTAGAAGAATTCATCACGCAAAATGCAATATACAATGAGACAAATCCCCCTAATAACAATTTTACATAAACTATACATCTATCATGAAGGTCTAGGATCTCCGAATTCTTGTTTGTATTGCAGCGTACCGTTCAAATTCGAAATAAAATTCTTCGCAAATGTCAAGTCAGTTATTTTTAAGTAGTGAAAAGCTGTTTGGACCTAAAGTAAATGGTATAACTTTTTCCCTAGAACTGTGTTATTAAACTGATGTTCAGTTCATTCCTTTTAAAAATTAATAATCTGGCGGGACAGCTGTGCTGGCCTAAAAGGAACTGTTGCCAAATGTAGGTTATAGTTCAGAGGGTTAGAGCTTAATGATTGTTGGGTGGGTTTTGAAACAAAGCAAAGATAGGGAGGTATGTGTGTGTGTGAGGCTCACCGGTAGAGATTTTTATGGTATTTATTAGGGGGAATTGCTATTTTTGCACCATGTGTGTTCCCAGACTCTCTAAATCTGTCTGAACCACTAACACTATTCTTGATAATTTGAATGGCTCCCAGTGGCAAATGTGCTAATAATTTGAACGGCTCCCAGTGGCAAATGTGCTGATGTTGACACATTGCCGCACTAAATCCATAGTGTGTTTTAGCACACAGACAGATTAGCCTTAAAGGCTCGTTAGGCGCCACGCCACCGTACAGAAGGGGAAATCATGTAAAGTGCCTTTTCTAAGGGCAAAATATCGGGCCACGTTGAGTATCGAACCCGAGACCTATTACTTCAGAGTCCAAGACTCTAAGCGTTGCGCCACTGACGCCAACGACGTTACTTCTTACATGTGCACATAGTGCGTGGGAAATTATATTTACCTCTCCAAGGGGTCACGGACAACGATGATCTTCTTGTAGGTCGCAAGACGCAGGCTTACTTCTTCCTCGCTGTAGTCATTTAATGTTTTAAAGGTTTGTTTGTGGATCCATTTAACATGATGTTCGCGAGACGTGTGATTACTCTTAGTGCTGTTTGGTAACCATTCAGCTTTTCTAAAACCGATCGACAATTGCTCAGTTGCATTGTGCTCCAAATTGTAAAGTAACAGTTTCATTGTTGTACACCCGGTTTTGGGGATATAGCAGTAGACCGTTTTGATCTTGTCAAAAATGAATAAGTGGTTGTTTCGACCGGGTTTGGGGGGATCCACCTAAAAAAGAAAGAAGCATATTTTCTAATGCGATGGACTGTGTTTCTAATTAATCAGCAAGGACAATAAATTAATGGTATAAAATTGACCATTTACCGTTCACCACTAAAACAGGGTTAAATCCAATAGTGTCGGCATTTATTAAATGTCTCTACTTTCACTTACACAAACTTACAGCTATTGTGACAAAATCAGCATTACTGTTATGCATGTCTCGGCTGTTCTACCACAGAATCCATTGAACGTAAGACTAACACCATACTCAGTAGGCTGATGCAGTAATTCCATACAATATAAGTTTATTAAGAATCTTAAGAACTATTCTGTTGCTTAGTTAGTTAGCTATGATGCAAAGCTGCACTATACACTATATATATGTATGTAATGCTAACACTAAATAAGGTTTAAAGATATTATAATTGTATAGAGAATTAGAGCCAAATTCAATTCACATACAAAACGGGGACAAAAGGTTCACATGAAAACACCGTAGCGTAGCATAAATAGTATACGGTTCACTTAAGTTCTTTCAACAACGCCCATAGGCTATTTACATTTTCAGTTATACTTTTGATAAAGCTTCGTGTCGCAAAACATTTCCTAACTAGAGTTCCCCGATCTCATACCATCGCCAAATGATGTTAATCTTTATGACTGACAAATTATAGATTATTCCCCCCAGATTTAACAAATAGGATCCGCATTTGCATGAATTATATCATTTTATCATATTCCCAACCAAAAGCAGTCTTACATTAACAAACAATGCTATTCTAGCATTTCCTCATAAATTATGCAAATGAAGTCCTGATTAGAATACATTATGTTTAATGATGTTCACCTTCCCTAACTTTCAAATACCACAAGTATGAAATTCCAGGCAGTTATAAAATTTTCTCATTAATTATGCAAATTGAGTCTTCATTTACATAATAAATATCTGCCTGTGTTTCTCTCTCTTATGCAAATTACATCCATATTTGCATAATTGTCACATAATTATATCAAGCATCTCGTAAGCTAGCTACATACCAAACATCACGACGATCCGACAACCAGTTCTTGAGTTATCCTCTTTTGAATATTTTCAAACATATAGCCCTGCAGTTCCAGAGCAAACCGCTAGGAGGCCCAAACTCACATTACTTCTTCCCCAGCACAAGAGCTACATGTACCAAACATTTGAATTTCGTCACCCTAGCATATCTAGATCATGAGATATCAAAACCGGAAGTTTAGCTGCAGTACCATAACAGGCCGCTAAAAATCTAATCATTTTGAGGTGTCGTCAATATCTACCCACCTACTAAGTATCAAGACAATCCATCATGGCCTTCTCAAGTTATCGTGTTTACACACACACACACACACACACACACACATACACGAACGCCTCTGAAAACATAACATTCTTGGCGAAGGTAATAAGAGTTACAAGAGAGGAACAAGGTTACATTTATTTACTAAAATTACAGTAGTAGCAACTGTATTAGACAAAACCCCCAAAAGTACTAGGCAGCTTTTTTTTGGTTTTGCAGTCTTGCAATCAAACTCCATAACGTACCTTTGGAAAGTTCCTCTCACAGTACGCTTTAAACCTAGTTATTCTTCGGGACTGTTCCTTCTCCGCTTCTGCTAAGTTTTCCCAAGTTTCTCGACGACGACGAGAAAATCAAATGACATAATTTTTCAGTCAATACTTTAATGTATTAATTCAATCAGTATTATTGCATTACAATATTGATACACTGTAACGTATTAATACTGGTAACGTTTGACGTTAGTGAACAGGTATATAATTTGCATATTTTTCAACCGTAATGCATTGGCATGCTATATATACATACACTTAATTACATGTAGATTAATTACATGCAGGTCTTTTTTAAGTATATACCATGTGTCATACATGGCACTTGTGCAATTATCAGGTACCGATTACATAATAAGTTGGCCTATCCTCTGATTTTTCCGGACAATGTTCAGAAAAAACAAACCAACATATAAACATGCTTAAAACTTAAAACAATAGTTCGATCCGACCCCTGGTCATGTGGAAATATGGGTGACCAGTGCCTTTGTAAATTCAGCGCAGTGGGGCGCCGTTTAATAGTTAACCAGTGTAAGTTTGTTGTTATCCTTACGAGATTTTTTGTAACGTCGAAGGAATGAGGATGTTAACAAGTTAATGCCAAACAAAAAAGACTAAGTTTATAATAACATTCTGCTTCATGTGAAAACATGGGTTTTCTAGAGAAGCTAATCTTCAATCAATCAATCGATCAATCAATTAATGGTTTATTCTGAACCGACTTCGCAGCACCAGGCAGGATATCGCCAATTGTAACATTCATTTTTAAAAAAAATTATACATTATAAAATACATTATATACATTATAAAATCGTTAATGGTACATTAAAAGGAGCGTCTTACTTAAAAAAAACATAAGGTGTACACGTACAATAATGAAGCTCTGATGTGACATAAAAGCAACGTTTGTTATCTTGATAACATGTGTCTTTATACAACTATCTTGACCTATACACTGGGTATAACTAACTAATTAAGGGGCATTAAGGGGCCGACTAAAGTAAATTGTTCTTTTGCAGACCAAGAGTCCCTACTTTAAAATGAACGTGCATTGAGCCGAATGTTTGTACGCTAGCTATGTCATTCAGATATTTGAAATATTGGGGCAAAATGTTGGAAAATAGTAGTAATGTTACAAATAAATAGTAAACCTGGATTTTTTTGTATGTGAAAGTGATGAAATGACGATATTTACCTTTTTTCCAAACCCATGAAGAAAAGCCTGTTCCTTCTTGTGATTGTATACGTCCGCTGTTGCTGATGTACACGTAAACGGTTATAACTCCAGCCATCAGTAGCAGAAAGGACAGGAAAATAAACTTTGATGTGGGCCAAAGGAAACCCATCTTTATAATATGAAGCAATTTGTCCTTAAAATAAACTAAATAATTTGTCCTTATTTACAACTATGCCAATCTAGTAGGTTTCCCCGTTACAATTCGTCCTGTAGCACCACCTAAAAGCGTTTCTGTATGTCATGGATTGGGTTTCTCAAAACATCTAACTGTTGTTCCACTTGGATACCTGCAATTTTGAGAAGGATTATACTTTAGTAAGCAACGCAGTTAGTTATTTTTTATGCCGCAGATTACAGTTTTGTATTTATTATGAAAATCTTATGAATTAACTAGTTGTCACGATTACAACGATGTAATCTATATCATAATATGTATATGCTTGTTTCTTTATTACCCCCATCAGAAGTAATATATAGGAATTTCTTATTTTGTAATTGGTTATGTATCTTTAAGATATTTGATAGGCAGGATGGTGTTCGAAAAAGAAAGGCATCGTCTAAAAACTGTGTACAGCTAGTATTTGTTACTCCGTGAAGGAGGTCAGGACCTCCGGACGGAGTGTTGTGATCGGCTGATTTTTCGTGTTCGCAGTCAAAACACTGGGTTCTCTTTGTGTAATCGGCACGCAATTTTATACGCCGTCTGCGGGCATGCCCGTGTTGATGCACGAATGTGTATTTTTGCCGTTGCTGCTTTCGCGGTCAATGTTATATTGCAGACGCACCCCTACAATTACGAGGCGAATTGGAATGGTCCAGAAAAACGCGTTGTTTGGAATAGCAGTGGGGGGGGTGGAACTTCATGCAGGTACGGGGTGGTTTTGA